GGCTACGTTGGCGACGCGATGGACGTCTAAGAGAACGAGAAGATCGACGCGGAATTCTAGAGATCACTGGTTGCTCGACGAATCGGCGGAGAGCGATTCGAATCGTGTTTGACGCGAGCGATCCTTCTCCTTCCAAACATCGAATCTAATTGTCTCGTTTTCATAGAGAAAGAGAGAGAGAGAGAGAGAGAGAGAAGAGATCCGACACGCACGTAAAACGAGGAGAATATTCGTCGAGTCGTATATTCGGACAAATTAATCCAAGGAAAACAAGGGAGCTCGAACACGATCGGCGGAACAAGAAACCCGGGGAGAGGAGACTGAGACATGGTCGTCCTCGTCGCCGTCATCCGAGAGAATAGATATCAGACGTCGCGCGGCCAAAGTGCCGGTTGAGCAGGAACAAAGGGAGCAGCGGGGACGTAATGGATTAATCAGGTGCGAGGCTGTTCCCGGATGTCCCGAATCTACTATACGGATAATAATTTCTTGTCAGAGCCAGTGCTCCTTGTTCGAGGAACAGCCAGCGTTGCTAATCAAATCACCGAGAAGCGAACAGAGCGAATGTCTTCTACTACGTGGAAAGAATCGAAGGAGAATTCGCGAAATTCCACGCTGGTGATTGCTGGTAATCGAGTCGAACTTGACGAGCAAACGATTTTCGAACGATTTTCGCGGAACGATCGGTACGAGAAATCGAGGCCCCGACCGCCGCAGAGAATTTTCGGACGATTCGGACCGAATGGGACGGTGAATCATCGCAGCTCGGAGAGCATCCTACCGGTGGAATTTCCCCAGAACCGAAGGCCACGCGAACGGTGCGCAACTGTCGGCCAGAGGAATCGAATTTTCGGGGAGCTTACGGAAACGGGACGAAGCCCGAACAAGCCGGAATTTTGAAAACCGGCTCCAGAGAGCCGGCAGTTCGATTCCGATCGGAGCTGATCGGCCCGCGGCCCGACGAGGAACGCTCGTCGTTTACGCTCGCAATATCGCCGTCTGTCGCTGTGACTACTGCCCGGAAATTGGGAACATTCCTGGAACGGACGCGCAACTTTGCTCGCTGGTTGGTCACGGTGGTCAACTTTGTCAAAGTTATGCGTTTGATAGACCGCGTCGCGGCAGCTGTATCTTGACAAGATAGTTTCGAGAGGAGGAGTGTATGTACATAGTGTGGGGAACGAAAGAAATTACGAAGGAAAATGTAAAACAGAGAGAGAAAGAGAAAGAGAGAGAATGAGTGAGTGAGTGAAACACCGAACAAAGTACCACCGACTTTAAACCTCGAGAATATTCTTTCGTTAACAAAGACAAACTCTTTCGGGAGTGGTTAGAAATGTACGTCTTTCATCGTACTCTCGGTACCTTTAATAGTAAAGAGATGCAAATGCGTAGAATACGAACTCGTTTCCACGGCCACTGAAAGGCGGAAAGAGCGCAAAGTGCCAGAGCAGAAGTCTGGCTCGCAAGCGAGAACGAAGAAGAAGAAGAAGAAACGAGAACACACAGCCCGGGGTTTTACGAGTCGCTGTTAGAGGCGGCTCGTTCGATATCTGCTCAAGCTCATACGCATCATCCTTCGTCCTGTTCACCCGTTCCCGTTGACCCCATTCCTCGCGTCATCCTCTCACTTCATCCTCTCCCCTCTCCCCGTCCTCCACTCCCACATCCCGGTCACTTCCTCTTTAGGCTAACCAATTATATCGTTATTAAAGTTTTACTGTTCGCCGATTTCGCAAGAAACGAACTCTCCATCCCGTCTGGATAGTTCCGGCGAGAAGTTTATAGCAATTCTGCCGTAGTGATAATAACGTTAACTCGGTGTTTAAGACTGGTGAACTGTGTGCGAGATTACGCGAGGGATGGCCGTCTCGCCCCCAGCCCGAAATGTACAGACGCGAATGTTGAACACACACATATATGTATGTATAAATTCGTACAACTCTGGCAGCAGACATA